GGGTGGAGGTGGTGGTGGTGGTGGTGGTTCAGGAACGGTTAGTTTGAGCATTTCTATGACAGCAGTAGAGGAATGAGGATTTCATTTTGCCGAGCATGGCTCATCATACACCTTCTTTCATGGGACTGATGTCATACATCATGCTATCTGACAGAGGTTTCTTCATTTGAGAAGGGCGGTGGGGTAGCCTAGTGGTTAAAGCGTTGGCTCGTCACGCCGAAGGCCCGGGTTCGATTCCCCACATGGGCACAATGTGTTAAGCCCATTTCTGGTGTCCCCCGCCGTGATATTGCTGGAATATTGCTAAAAGCGGCGTAAAACTAAACTCAGTCAGTCAGTCAGTCATTTGAGAAAATCTTTTATTGTTCTCAACATGGTCATATAACTTTGAGGCAATGGGGTAGCCTCTTGGTTAAAGCGTTCGCTCGTAATGCCGAAGACCCGGGTTCAATTCCCCACATGGGTACACTATGTGAAGCCCATTTCTGGTGTCCCCGCCATGATGTTGCTGGAATATTGCTAAAAGCGGCGTAAAGCTCATTACTACTTTCGATATGCCAGTGTCCACATATAGGAACACTATACCATATGTCTGCAGTTGTACAAAAACATGTTGAATGTCATGTGTCTTTGCAGCAATTTCTCTCCTGTTACAGAGTCTATATATTGCATTTCATGATCGTGGTTGTTTCTCAGTTGATTGTAGCTTTGTTTCATTGCTTTAAGAAGTCTTTCGAGTCAGCTAAGACAGCACATATGACAACTGTTTCATGATGTCACCCTTTCTTTAAAATTTTATTGGGCTAGATAACTATGAGCCATTACATCAATATGTATGCAGCTAATCCTCTAAACAAAGTCTGTTGTTTTTCACACTTCATGCCCAGATATGGGCATCTGTTTTGATAACTCTAAAAACTATTTGTATCAATGAATCCAATGATAACTGATTAATCAATGAGTGTTCATCGGCTATTCCTTTGATCAAATATTTTTGTTTAACCCATCTGATCATTCCTCTTTTGCTGAGCTGCCATGATACATAACATGTAATACATTCAGACTTGGATCTATCAGTCAATCATGGATTGAACAATTACATCAGAATACCAATGTGAACTGGTGCTATTCTGAGTGGTTTTACCACTAATTATATCTGTAATAAATTCTTTAACTGAGCATTGCGTGAATGATGATAAATATACAGATGTAGGTTTATGCCACGAAAAGGTTTTCACTGTCGTTTTCTCGGAGATTGTTTTGACCCGTGAAGATCCGGGGTAGAATAGGTCTTCAGCAACCCATGTGCTTGCCATAAAAGGCGACTATGCTTGTCGTAAGAGGCAACTAACGGGATCGGGTGGTCAGGCTCGCTGACTTGGTTGACACATGTCATCGGTTCCCGGTTGCGCAGATCGATGCTCATGCTGTTTGATCACTGGATTGTCTGGTCCAGACTCGATTATTTACAGACCGCCGCCATATAGCTGGGATATTGCTGAGTGCGGCGTAAAACTAAACTCACTCACTCGGAGATTGTTTTGGGTTTTTATTCTTTTAATGTGGAACTATTACCATCAGTTTTTTTTCTGAATAACAGTAACTGACAGCCATTTTATTTACATGCGCCCATTGTATTATCACAATCCTCACAGATCACAGGTAACTAATCAGTAGAACTAACCCGATACTGCCTCAAAGTTACCTTCAGATGGTAACCCATCAGGCCAGTCTGTTGACTCTAGGACCACATGGTATTACCAATATGCCGCAGTATACTTTTCAAACAATGAATATTGCACTATTTTTTCTGAGGAATCGTAAATTGGGTAGAAATATCTAACATGTTTTGTCATTATCTCTATGGTTTAACGGGGCGATGGGGTAGCCTAGTTTTTAAAGCGTTCGCTCGTCACGCCAAAGACCTGGGTTCGATTCCTCACATGGGTAAAATGTGTGAAGCCTATTTTTGGTGTCCACCGCCATGATATTGCTGGAGTATTGCTAAGAGCGTAAAACTATATTCACTCACTCACTCACTCACTCAATCACTCACTCTATGGTTTAAGTTAAAATCTAAGACTCTCATTCATCTCTGATGTTTCCCTTCATAATTAATTTACAAAACAGTTTACATGTTTTGAATTGAGTAAGTTACAAAGAATCCGTAACTATGCAACTTATTTTTTAGATTGATGTTATCAGAACATCATTTCTGTGTAGTTCCAAGAGGATCTGCAAAGAGTGTCACACACTATCAAACACTAGACTTCCAATATATCGCAATACTTATATCTATTACACAATGCGGATACCTGTATCACAATGCAATGTATTTGCCATTAGCCAGCAGATGGACTCACAGCAGCTAATGGAGGCTCAGAAGTGGGTAGAAGCCAGAGATTAGTATCCATTTAAAACATTTTTTTATTTTTAAAATAACTGACAAAGAATTGTTTGACATCTGTTTTTATTGATTTTACACTCACATTTAGAAGGTCAGGGAATGTTAATGGCTTTGTCCCTGTTTCCTTTGTAAGATTTTGACATGAAGATCACGTTTCTAACCTTTAAGCCAACGTTGCCGTGCAATCGTACTCTAAACCACTTTCATATCCTGTTGGTGCCAACATAACTTTTGTGTTTGACCTTCTGAATCTTGTAATGTTAATATAAGTCTTGGTTTCGTGTTCAGTCTCACTTACAAATAAATAGTAGAGAGGGGTTTTACCAAAGGAATGGAGATCCATTGAGGTCTCCCAAAGGGACTATCAAAGATCGTGTGGAAAGACTGCAATTTTCAATCTTTATACTGAAATCCAAACTCTGCTCTGACACTTGCTGATTGTTCGTGAAGCACCAATCACTGTGGAACATTCTCTTGCTTCATTGCCATCTGAAGAAATTCTGTTTTCATCATGGTTATATTCCTGTGAATTGTTTAAAGCATGAAAGCCACATAATGTATTTTCAAAAACTAGAATATCTCTCAGATAATTGAATAAGTACCACAATGTTACATTCTACAGCTCACACTAAACCTGCGTGAAGCTTGGACATTTTATTCTCACTTTAATGCATTTTGTCTATATGCAGTTCTTGAAATGGTAACAGCCTATCAAATAAGAGCAATTATGAAATCAATTTTCATCGTACCTCAGGCCTAAATTAGTGACAACACTTGTATTCATCTCCATAACTAGATGGCAAATGTGGATGGAGACATGCATTTTATTGCTGGCTTGAGAGGATGCTAGTCACTGTCTGCGTGGGAGGGTGGTTACGATGTTAAAGATGACCCGTCTTTCATCAGGCAAACTTTCTTTGGTGCACGGAAAAGATTCACTTGGCTATTCTTAGGAGAGGGTAGGAGTGAGTCCGTCTTTTGACTAATGTGAAGAGCTGTTACACAAAGTGGATGAAATCCAGACATTAACTTCAAGACTATCACATTTGGCAAGTGCCTGGTGTTATTTGGGAATGTTTCGTTCATGGGAGCAAACATGTCAGAGCAAGTCTACTTTAGAGGTGCTCGTGTGGGAGGCAGTCTAAAAGAATCAAATGGATAATATGTTTATAGAGATGCCATGGAGCTTGGGGGTTAAGATGGTCTGGTTTAATCATATGCTTATGTGTGTGAGATTCATGCACTCTAACACCACCCACTCTAGCACCACCCACTCTTACACCACCCACTCTTGCACCGCTCTAACAACACCCCCTCTAACACCACCCCCTCTTACACCACCCACTCTTGCACCACCCACTCTTGCACCAACCACTCTGTCACCACCCACTCTTGCACCACTCACTCTTGCACCAACCACTCTAGCACCACCCTCTCACGTACCACCCACTCTAGCACCACCTGCTCTAGCACCACCCACTCTAGCACCACCCACTCTTGCACCAACCACTCTAGCACCACCCTCTCACGTACCACCCACTCTAGCACTATCCACTCTAGCACCACCCACTCTAGCACCACCCACTCTAGCACCACCCTCTCACTTACCACCCACTCTAGCACCACCCACTCTAGCACTATCCACTCTAGCACCACCCACTCTAGCACCACCCTCTCACGTACCACCCACTCTAGCATCACCCACTCTAGCACCACCCACTCTAGCACCACCCTCTCACGTACCACACCCTCTAGCACCACCCACTCTAGCACCACCCACTCTAGCACCACCCACTCTAGCAGCACCACCCTCTCTAGCACCACCCACTCTAGCACCACCCACTCTAGCATCACCCTCTCCCTCACTCACACCCTCCCTCTAGCACCACCCACTCTAGCACCACCCACTCTAGCACCACCCTCTCTCTCGCACTCACACACCCTCTCTAGCACCACCCACTCTAGCATCACCCACTCTAGCACCACCCTCTCACGTACCACACCCTCTAGCACCACCCACTCTAGCATCACCCACTCTAGCACCACCCACTCTAACATCACCCACTCTAGCATCACCCGCTCTTACACCACCCATTCTTGCACCACAAACTCTAGTACCACTCATTCTTACACCACCCAGTATAGCACCACCCACTCTAGCACCACACACTACAGCACCACCCACTCTACCTTCATCTGCTCTTGCTCCACCTAGCTGTAATAATAGATTGAGGAATTGGTAGAATTGGTTCCTCACTCTATCAATCTACCTTACAGACAAAAAGTAGAATTTGACATGTGAGATATCACCAGATAAAGTCAGTTGTTGAAAAGTAATTAGGGAAGGTGTAGAAACAATGTTTCATCTTATATGGAATAAACATAAATCATTACATACAAAAAATAGAAGTCAACAATTTATCTTTGTTATGGTTCCATAACGAAGTCATCCTCACAGCTCTGTGAGACACACAGTCAATTTGTTCAGTAACAGGCCACCTGCAGTACACTGACATAGAATGATAAACCACGCTCTTGATATTTGACAACACCAAATTGACAACATTGATGAAGTCACTGTTTCTGTTGACAGGTGTGGCAGTAATCAGGACGGTAATGAAGTGTACAAGTCATCACAAGTGTTATTTGTTCAGCGAGATAGACATGGAGGAACACCCAGAGCTTTTGATGAGGAGCTAAGGAAGAAACATGTAAACAGGTTACAGGGTACCGGAGGCAAGGAGGAAGTAGCATCATTGCTTCCAATTATGTGTGAATGAGCGTGTGTTTTCAGAGCTTGTATGGCATGGAATTTATCTAATTTTGCTTGTTCCGTTATAATTAGTACAGGTTTAGGTAGGACTGCATGGTGAGATGAAGCAAATGCTGCACAAGGCCATCACAGGTTGATGTTGTTTGTCATGGGAGTTGTTCAGGCAATCCCTTGTGAATTCAGGTTGATGATAATTTGTTTCTTTTGTCTGGAAATAAATATGGTTTCATTATTTATTCTATAAATGTCAATACATTCTGGATTTAATTAATTTAATTATGCCACCGTGGATTCCAACAAGGAGCAATGTTCTTCCCTCTGAGGGAATCAGGAATGGATTAACTAGATGCTGATTGTGAACAGAACAAGACATATTATTCCATCACTCACTAATGCCTTGTAGTATATCTGCTAACATTTTCCGCAATGTTTGGAAATCTCTTCAATTGTTCGTCACTTTGTAGTATCAATTCCTGATGTGACATAAAATCGTAGCTCACCCACTCTTCTGTGTCAAGTCAACTATGTACCTGGGCCCCATTCCTCAAAGCGATCATAGCGCTACGACAGTCCTAAGTCTATGTTAAAGTATGGGAGTTACGATCAACTTAGTGCTACGATCGCTTTGAGTAATGGGGCCCTGTTCTATCATAATTGAGAGTGTACTTTGTTACATAAGGGCACAATACCCATCAGTCCAAGCCATCATAAGCCATGGTGAATGGGAGTTATGACAACCAGCGTTCTGAGACTTCATGCATGAACACAGTTCATTTCTTGCAGTATGATCTTAAACATTAATGCATCACCCACAGGGTTTCCATGGTATTATCTCAGACTGTTCCTCCTAATATCAATCACTGGTTTGTCTGGTTCTGATTGTTCACAGGTTTCCACGATATAGATGGAACAGTCTCATATACTTTGTATTATTATCCACGCAGTCAGTGTATAGGTACTTGCAAACTGATCTCATACGTCACACGAGTGTCGTATCGCATTGACCTGTGTCATAACGACTTGACCTGAGATTCTGACAATTTGATTGGATAACCGATGACCTCTCAATTAGGTCACGTTGTGACGGAACTACTTTTTCATTCATAACAAACACGTAAATTCATTCATTCTACAACTTATATGCATTGTGGGAATGTAAACATTTCGAACGTTGCCGTATCGCTGTTTAATTGTGAGTCGAACTGAGACATTATATCCGTCGAAAAACATAAACGCAATGTTTCCACCAGTGATGTTAGCCCAGTGAAGCAACTGTAAACTAAGAAATGTGGTGCTACAGAGTAGTTTAATGTAGGAGGCTGTATGAGGCGATGACAACTGACATGCATCGTGACATCGGTTACCAAGGGGGCAGACGAGAATGGCGTATTGACGTCAATACAGAGTGACGTCATGCAAATGTGTACTACAGAACAAAATTCTTCCGCAACCTCTTTATGAAACCGGTTTTGGCTTGAAACCATAACAAAAACAAAAATACACTATTTTGTCAATTTAATGCATGTAAGACGTGGGTAATAAATAAAATACCACACTCGGTCTCATAACATACAAATTATTCAAAACTCATGACCTTCCTTTCGCTCGGTCAGATACCATAGGAAGGATTCTCGTTTCGTATAATTCATATGTAATGAGACCTCGTGTAGTATTCTCTATTTACTTAATGAAACCAAAGAGATATCTCCCACCTATCATTAAGTGGTAATCAAGACATGTTTTTTTTGTAGTGGCCTTACTTCAAAATGCTTCATGGTTGCATGTTGTGAGAGGCGTGGGGTTGTTGGAGGGGATAGCAGAATCAATGGTTGGGTTTACATGGTAGACATGCCTTGGCTTTAAAGTCACAAAGAAATATTGTGTTCAGTATCTTTTCAATCATTTCACTTACTGTAAATCATGAAATTAATGCGAGCATTTTATTAATGAAATACACATTGCCATTTTAGAAAGTGGTCAAATGTAACATATGTTATGTTTGGGATTACATTTTATTAATGCGAAAAATGCGTCTGTACTCTTCTCGCATTATTATAATGACACATTTCAGTCTGACCATGTCTGCTTGATAAAAGACAGAAAATGTAAATCTGTTGACACTACACATTACACCAATACAGGTCACTTCCTCATTACCATGATTACAGGTATCTCAAGCCACATGTAATTATCACTGGTTACAATCACTGGTCATTGTTTAAAGTCACTCAAGCACATCAGCCAGTCCGGACATTCTCCAACCACTTGTTTGTTGTACCTTGGTAGATGACTTGTGTCTTTCACGTCGTATTACGTTTATACATGTTTATGCTTGTCATAAGACAAGTAGTAGCAAGTAATCACGTGACCAAACATGACAGCGTAATCAAAACATCGTCAGCTCATTTCCATTCATTGCTTAACAAGCTCAATTCAGGTTATTTGGTAAATAACAAGTGTGAAAAGAAAAAGAACAACACAAAAGATTCAGGGTGTCACATTTTATCATCAACACAGATTCCTGAGCTTGCATTAAGTTCGTGACGCATTAATTTCATGATTTACAGTACATGGAATGTTTTGTCAAGGTACATTACAAGGATGTGTTACTTACAACACATTTTTGTTGTTGATTATTTATCATATTATTAGATTAGAAATGTACCCAACAAGAATGTTTACAATTGGGAGACGTGTGAGCTCTTTGAAGAATTCTACATCAAGATGAGAGACAGATTTTCAGTTGTAAACGATTTGCTCTTTGGGTGATGAATGATGAGGTTGAGTGATTATTGAAGCGGTTTCATGACACACAGTAGACGTGCATCTAGACATTCACTGTATATACCAGCACCTTGCATCTTTGACATTGTAAAAAGGCTCTTGTACATACGTATCAACTCATTCACTTATGTCACTTCTAACACAGTTCCAGAACAGACACCATGAAGGTTGCACAATTAGAAATTGTCACACTGTGAATGTCAGCCAAACAAATCTAGAAATGCAGACGCCAAATCCAGAACTTTGAATTGAATCAGATAGGATCTTGTTATGTTCAAATGAACTACATAAATCAATAATCTGTTATTACGTTTAAGAAGAAAAACATCAATGTCGATATTGTTATCTAACTGGAAGTATTTTTGGATTGTTTAAATGAGGATATTTTAATTGATAAAGACTAAAAGATTTTTTTAGTACCTGCTTAATATTCTTTTCTGTTTAATGCACAATTCGCGTGGCGTCTGCCATGAGGCAAATCTAGGTTAGTATCATGGGTTGGGGTTTTTTTTTCAAAATTATTTGGCAATATGCTAAGAGGCACCAAAAACGTAAATCATTCTAAAAATGTCAATAAGGTGGATTGGAACTTAATTTCTTCTGAAGGATTCTTCCAAATATAAATAAAAGATCAACACCAAAAACAGTTTCTGCTAAATTTAGAGTATTCAGTAAGCTTGTTCCCTATGCCATTATCAAATAACAGGGATTAGTCTGCCACCACCTTTGAGAAACTTATTTTTGTTACTAACACATGTTTTCACTGCGTTAAGTCATAAGCTCCATGTCACTATCATTTCATGTTTACATACAAACAGCTGTTCATAGGAATAGAATAATTATATTAAAATTACAGATTTGAGGATATTGAATCTCAAGCGCACATTTTGATCCTCAAGTAAATGTAATAGGTTCTACATACATCTCAAGTTTTGATAGGGATACTGAGGTACTTCATAGTATTTACATCAGAATAATAGAAATATGTCTATCGAATGTTGAGTAGTATACTACCTCTGCAGTATTGTACAGAAGCACTGTTATTATTTCAGTCAACTTGTTATGTAGTCTTGTTTCAAATTGTAGATATGAAATGGTATTTTTAACATACTTCTTGAATTATTGTATTACCATTTACAATTTATGTGATTTTTATCTATAAAATTTTACAATAATGCTGTTTTTCATTTTTCACATGTCTGCTTTTAGTATACTTCAGTATGTATGATGGTACTTCTGTACATACGATGGTACTTCTGTACGTACAATGGTACTTCTGTACATATGATCTGTACGTACGATGGTACTTCTGTACGTATGATGGTACTTCTGTATCTACGATGGTTCTTAAACAGCTTGAGCATACCTTTATGATATATTCTAAACTCACGTACAGTGAGTACTGTGAGTGGTATTTTAGAAGAAGTCTTTTTCTTCAGTTACATTGATGGAAATTTTCTGGATTTCACAGAAGCAGTTTGTGTGATTTTTATTGGTTTGTGATTGTCAGTAATATCGCAGCAGGTTTAGTGCCCACCCCACTTATCTGTCATTCCCGGTCATCAGAAGGGTAGTCATGTACACACAGCTTACACACATTTCTTTCTTTGTCAAACCAAACAGCTCATCAACAATTTGAAATTGTGTAAATGCATCTGATTTACTGCCCTACCATATCCTCCAATCTGCTGACAGTTTAACCAAAAGTGTAATGTGAAATGTAGTTTTGCCACACTGAAATATCAGAAAGCTATGAGCTGTATAAAAGTATCTATGGGGTAGTCTCCGGATTCTTCTTCATGTTACAGACAGTCAGATGGAGAAAAATGCCATGATGATTACCCTTGAAACCGCTTGCCCCAAATTGTATCAGTACTGAGACAGTGGTATGTCTGGAGTTTGGGAGTGATGATGACCATGGTGCAAAGATTATAGCTTTGTGATTTACATAAATGCAATGTCAAACAAAATCTCTGAAGAATGTCCATTGTCTTCACATTGTTATCTCTTGAATATATTTTTTAAGATAAACAAAACTTATTCAAATAATAATGAATTATTAGTCAAATGCTTTGATGATGTTATGATTTCATGCCTGTTTTGAAGATGTTGACATGCACAAATCATTCAGAATATTTGTAAATAATTTGACAATATTCAATGGAAAAACCCTTCAGCAGACACCTATAGGAACATATATATCAGTATATTTAACACAAGTTGTCCATAGATACCAAAAGATCAAAATTAGTTGTTATTTATATGAAATGATATTTTCCTATTATATGATGCAATATTGCAGCAGTTTTAGAAATGTCTGTAGGACAGTTTCCCATACCAAAGACTAATATGGGATGTGCATGTCGAGGAGTGTGATATTGCACTTCCATACAATAATGCTTGTTGATTTCAATATCCATCATAATTTGTGTGATATGAATTCATAATAATTGTTTCCTAAAGACTACTTTCAACTGTTAATGTGATTATTTCATAACAGTTTCTGGTTATCGTTATAATAATTTGTTGCCATATTACAAATGTTTACAGTGTAATATGTTGTTAGCTGAGGCTGTGCCTTGTGAAGAAACATAATCTCTACTACCAGATTAACAATAACACTTGATTGAATGCATGAAAGTTACATTTACAAGTAAAGCGCTGTGGATAGTCACCCAGTTTGATTAACCTTGTTAATCCAGAACCAGCCAGACTGAAAATCTCTGAACAGTTCTCGTTTTCAAACCACCTGTTTGGTTGAGTGGATACAGACTCTGCCTCAAGAGTCACTAAGGAAGTCCATGGTTTGATTACTTGCTGGGTCTACGAAAAGACACTAATAAATACTACTTGTTTTTACCCTGTTTTACGCTTGTCCATAAGCAAGAATCCAAAAAAATGGTCAGTTTGGGGTCGATACACTGTGTGTGAGTGGATATCCATACTAAACTAAGTCCAGGTAACTCATTATTCGAGCACTGTAAAAAACAGCATAGGTAGGAACTGGAACAACAGCCACACATGCTGGAAGGCATGTTGCTATATTAGTGCAATAACTGTGAACACAATAGTCAACCCTGTTGCATCCCACCTCTCATTTTCAAAAGAAACATAAATCTCAATTCTAAATTTGTTAAATCTGGAAATTTTCAATGGTAATATTTCATTACAACCCACAAGAAGTTAAAGAACACTTATTTCTTCTAATTCACTGTAGTAGTCTGTCCTGTCGTGACAGATTACCAGCAGTTATATTTAAGAATCCGGTGTTCTTTAGTGTCC